TTACTGAGGTAGTAAGAGAGCACATTCCCTTGTATATAACAGGAAGCTAGTTGATACATTAGAGCCATTTGAGTTAAGCAATCCAGTCTGGCTTGTCCAGATTGGACTGATCCTGGTAAATCCCCTTTGTTCCCTCTTGTTGCCCCGACCTGGCCACAGTGATCCATGCGACGGTCATCTCCAGGCTTGACTACTGTAATTCGCTCTACGCGGGGCTGCCCTTGAAGCTGTCCCAGAAACTCCAGCGGGTACAGAATGCTGCAGCGAGGCTCCTCACGGGGTCTCTGCCATGGGAGCATATTCACCCAGTGCTTTTCAAGCTGCACTGGCTCCCGGTGGAGTACAGGGTCAGATTTAAGGTGCTGCTTTTGACCTTTAAAGCCCATCACGGCCTAGGACCCTCGTACCTACGGGACCGCCTCTCCCGGTATGCCCCACGGAGAGCCTCAAGGTCCATAAATAACAACACCCTAGTGGTCCCAGGCCCTAAGGAAGTTAGATTGGCTTCAACCAGAGCCAGGGCCTTTTCAACTCTGGCTCCGGCCTGGTGGAACGCTCTGCCTCATGAGACCAGGGCCCTGCAGGATCTGATTTCTTTCCGCAGGGCCTGTAAAACAGAGTTGTTCTGCCTGGCCTTTGGCTTGGAGCCAATTTGATTCCCTCCCTCCCTCTCTTTCTTTTTTCTTTTCCTTCTCCTCCTGCGATGAGGCTACACTTTAATATTTTAATGTTCCATTATTTTAATGTTGTATTTTATTTTTGTTTTTAAGTTGTAATCATTCATCTTGTTTTTATTATTGCTTGTAAGCCGCTCTGAGCCCGGCCTTGGCTGGGGAGGGCGGGGTATAAATAAAAATATATTATTATTATTATTATTATTATTATTATTATTATTATTATTAAAAACAATAATGGCACAACAGTCTTCATTTTAAAAGTAATGAAAAGGTTTGCTCACATTCAGTTCACAGTATGATCCTGAAGGCAGACTTTAGCTTGTAGTTACAGTTACACAGAAAAGCGTGAGATCATCCTTTGTGAGAGATGAGCCCATGTGCTGCTGGATGAGAGTCAGCACACAGCAAAAGCATCAAGATGGTCAAGAGAGGTCAAGAAGACAAGAGCAGCATAAGACAAGAGAAAGATGGCTGCGTGACTAGCCCCTTTATAGGGTCTGCTAGGGTCATGCCCATCTACCTGGACACACGCAGAGGGAGGATGCTCCAGACCAGGTGTGACAGGAAGTCCTCCAGGTCGAAGCAACATTCCCCTGTGTGTCCATTCTAGGCAAACAGGAAATGTTGTATTTGACTGCTTATGTTACATCCCACAAGTGCCTTGCATGTGAAAGGTCCCAGGTTAGATTCCTGGCACCTCCAGGAAGGGTTGTGGGTGCTCCCTGCCTGAACTCCTGGAGAACGAACGATCGTTCATTGTTTATGTGCAAGAATACTGTAAACAGGTTGACACATCAGCAGGATTTTAAGTAAACGCTTGCAACTAGTAGAAAATTAGGGGGGGGGGAGAAATAAGGGAAATAATAATTGGGAAAGTGAATAGGATGCAAAATGCAGCAGTCTGATTGGTCCTAGAACAATAGGATCCAGAATGCAGCAGTCTGATTCGTCCACAGGAGCCACCCAATCCAGCTCCAGGTGGAAGTGAATCCGCAACCTGATTGGCCTACAGGAGAATCCCGGAATTAGCCAATCACGTGGGGTCCATTGCGTAAATAAGGTATATAAAGCAACATTCTGGGGGAACTTCCATTCCTCCTCACCACTGTGAGCTGAATAAAGACCAAGAAATCCACTCTCGACTCCGAGTATATTCCAGAAAGTATAAGTATGGAAATGCAAAAGAATTTGGTTAATATAAGGAACCAGAAGAGGGTATGGAGGGAAGTACAGACATTCAAAGAGAAGGTTCATGAAAATGTATTTGTAAAAATCTAATCCGGTAGAAATGTGAAATGATTTATTTTTTTTAATTGTGGAAAATTAATAAAAAAATATTTACAAAGAAAAAAGAACTCATGGAGAGCCACAGCCAGCCAGAGAAGGCAATACTGAGCTGGAAGGACCAGAAGTCTGACCTGGTATAGGGCAAGTTCCTATGTCTACACTGATCTCTGTGCAAAAGAAGGGCCAGTTCCTAGAAGACCAGGTGCAAAGGCATAGAAAGCGTCCTCTCCCCACTTTCTCAGGTTTGAGTTTCTAATATTCGCATATTAGGATGCAGTGCTCGGGGAGGGAGGTTTTTGCTGTGGATGCTTGTGAGAAACAATTCATAGCACTCGAGTGAGCGCCTGGGTGGGTTGCAGAATGAGGGCGAGGGGGGGTTAAGTGGCTCAAAAGTCACAGAATGAGCTGGCCCAGGGTGGGGCTCTCTTTATGTAAGAGACAGAGAGGAAGTAAGTGGTCTGTCCTATAACGAAAATGGACTGCAAACTGTTGCAAAGACCATTGATTGGTGCATGCTTGCTTTTATCTGCGTATTTGGTGGAAATCTTCATTTTGTCCTCATTGTTGTTTGCTTTATGACAGAAATGTTAATTTGCTGTTTATTGGACTTGTTGATGTGATTTTGGAACCTTTGTATATTTACCCACCCACCCCTCTGTTTATTTGTATTACTTTGTTCCCCACTCCAGGACTGAAAATATTCAGTGAAGAACGGGCTATAAATACTGTAAGCAAATAAATAATTTTGCGTGGAGTGAGTCTTTATCAACAGAGTTGCTCAGATGAGAAGAATCTGGGAAGGGCAGTAGCTCGGAAGGAGAGCATCTGCCTTGCACACAGAAGGTCGCAAGTTCAATCTTTGGCATCTCTAGGTGGGGCTGGAGAGACTCTTGCTTGAAACCCTGGAGAGTTGCTGCCAGTCCGTGTAGACAATACTGAACTGGATGGACCAATGGTCTGACTCAGTAGAAGTCAGCTCCCTATGTGTCTAGATGCTGAAAAGGGAAAAGTGTGTAAATGATGAAAGCTAGAGGTGGTTTCAGATGCTTTCGTGAGGAGATTACCCCACAAAGACTTTGGACAGTGATGGAGGATATCTCCATCACCATCATCCTCTTGAAAGCCATCTGATTTTGCTGTTCTTCCTTGTCATCTTCCAAGGATTTAGAGGCTTAAGTTTGCAATTCATTTTCTATTGCTATCTCAAACCCAGCTCTGTTATGTCCATCTTCTGTTCATTTTCCCACTGGTTTGTTGAGTTAAAATTCTTGGAGGGCCTGGTTGAAGGAACTGATGTCATGAATGGATTGACTGACGTCAGTGAGTCACTTTGCATTAGCTAATGAATTAGCTGAGCAGCACCGTAGATGATTCCAAAAAGAACAGCTCATGAGCTTAGCTGTAAACCGATTGAGACTGCAATCAAATGATTTCAAGGGGAATAAGTCCAAATGAAAACAGAGGGCTTTTACGCCCAAGGAAACTTGGTTAAGGTGGTTCTGCACAGCGTCTTAGTTCATAATTCTTTAACTGTATTCTTTGTCCGTGGAGGATGCCATCATTTGTAGAACTTCTTCCAACCAAGAGGCAGCCCATATATGCAAAGAAACTTATTGTTTCTGTATCACTGATGTCATAATGAAGAAAGTATATTGTGGCCTAACACACAGAGGGCATCCTGGTAGCATCCTCAAAGTGAGTACAAGACGGCATTGAACTTAACCGATAGCATATTTGCATTTCTTATGCAAAATATGTTCATTATTGTGATTCCTGCATTGCAGGGAGCCAGACTATATGACAATTCGGGTCCCTTCCAACTCTACAATTATGTGATATTACTAGTTGGTTGGACTGTCTGCAACTGACCTGACGATAGTCTTTTTTTCGGGTGCATTGCACAGTTTTATGAACAAGATACCAGTTAGCATCTGGATTGGATCTGAACTGATGTTATGCATGTACTGCCATTGTTTCATAGACTCCCAGGTGGGTACATAGATAAACTGTTTTATACATATTGTTATCATACTGTAAATTGGTTTGGGTTGTTCCTGAGAGGTTATGCATGAGAGAGAGGGAAACAACAACGCAGGTGTTAAGTCCCCATGTGGAATTGTGCCCAACAATTTTTTTCCAACTATTCCTTGGGGATAGAAATTTCTCTGAAATTTTGAGGAGAGGTTGCAACTTGCTGTCCTAAACAAGGTGGCTGGGGCAGCAGGGAGGGTTCCATTTGCTTTCTCACTTTTTGCCATTTGTGTTCACAAAGCCTCAGGCTGCAGAGTTTCCCTCCACAGTTTCCTGCCACCCTTCCACATTTCCTGGGGAGCCTTGGGGCAACGCCACCTCACATCACATCGCAGTGCTCCCAAAGCCTTCTGGGAAGTTTAGTCAACAAGAAGCAGCTCAAGGCTCTCTCTACCACTTCCCACATTCCTGGCAAGACTCAGTACAGCAAGTGATGAAGCGCTCAAGGGGAGAAATCTCCCACTCAGCAAAATACCAGAAAATTGGCTGCTGTTTATGCAGGACACAAATATTTGCAAGGTGTTTTGGCCCAGGCTTAGCCCCACCTAAGGCAATAATTATTATTTATGTTATACCCTACTCCAGTGGTTCTCAAAGGGTATGTCAGGAGACGATGGCAACTGGGGCAGGAAGATTCATTGATAATCAAAGAAACATTTAAACATTTCAGTTTAATATAGTACAGTATCATATGGGGGTTTTTTGGTGTGTTTTTTTGCAAAACATGGATAGATATCTTTTCAAAATGAAAGGAAGAGCATCAAATGAGACTGAAGACAACCTTAGCTATGTTTTCCAATGTATTTCTTTATATATATATATATATATATATATATATATATATATATTATGTGGCGCAAGAATTTTTTTATTCTGAAAGTGTGGCCTGGAGGAAAATATTTGAGAACCACTGCTCTATCCTTTCTCCCACACTGCTCAGAGCAGCATAAAAGGTTCAACCTCTGATCATTGTCTGCTCAACAACAACCCTATGAGACCCCAGACTTATAGCTCGGTCGGTAGAGGATGAGACTCTTAATCTCAGGGTCAGGGGTTCAAGCCGCACATTGGGCAAAAGATCCTTGCATCGCGGGAGGTTGGACTAGATGCCCCTTGTGGTCTTTTCCAACTCTACTATTCTATGATTCTGTGACGTGGGTTAAAATCAGTTGAGGGAGATCGATTGGCTAAAGGCTATCTGGGGCGCTTTATAGCTAAGTCAGGATTCGAACCTGGGTCTCCTCAATTTGAACCCAACTCTCTGACCACAGCACTAGCTCTCTGGCAGAACTCTCCTGCTCCAGACTAAAGTCATCCTACGATGCCTTTCGTTAAAGCGTATAGCAAGGGATTAAAAAATTATAAACCACAAGCAGCTTCTCTGCATCGCGGCTACATTTGAGTGATTATTCAAGGAATTTCACTCCTCAAGTATTTAGGGAAACCTCATCCATCTGCTGTTTCTTTTCTTAAAGAAAAGGGATGTCTAGCATGAGAAGAGAGCTCTTCCGCCCAACCAGCTATGCCTAGAATCACAAGGATACAATTTTAAGCTGCAGCATAAGGCCAGGAACCACCTGCTAAGATTTCGTGTATGCTGTTTACTGTGATTAGGAAGAAAGTGCTGCATTTTGCTAACATCCACGCTGCTTAGGATTACCTCATCCTTCCTACAGCCTTCTGTTGCCTTTGCATTTCCAACACACACACACACACACACACCCTGCCATCAAGCTATAACACCTTCCCAAATACTGCTAGGCCTCAGAAACTCCAGGATCTTAAATTCTGCAGGCATCGCTGAACACCGGCCTTCCCCAGCTGAGTACCTTCCAGATGTTGGAGTAAGTGTATAATTACACTGACACCCCAAGGCTTAAGGCAAAACATTGTGGGTGATCCCAACACTGGCCTGTAGAGAAGGGTGGCGGGGTGCTCAAGAGAGCCTCTCACACAAAAACATTCCTTGCTCAACTGTTGCGCAATAGCCTTGCCATGTTGCCATTTGTGCCTTACCATCTGGTAGTTTTTATTATATTGTTATTATATATTTATTTGTACACACACACACCTCTTTTTGCCTGGCCGGGACTCAAGCTGGCTCACAGATAAAAATAAGAACAGCTAAAAACGGATAGCTAGCTAGCTAGCTAGCTAGCTAGCTAGGTACAGTGCTTTTTTCTGGGGGGCCGAAGGGGTACGCATACCCCTAAGCATTTTGTGAATCTTTGTACCTTTGTCCATTTACTGTATTTATTTCCCCCGATCTGAACTATAAAATGGTGATTTTCTTGAGTCAAAATGAGAGTACCCCTAAACATTTTTTTAGGGGGGAAAACACTGGGTAGGTAGGTAGATAGGTAGATAGATAGATAGATGATAGATAGATAGATAGATAGATAGATAGATAGATAGATAGATGATAGATAGATAGATATAGATTTTTTGGAGGGGTATGCTCAATACTTGGACCCCACTTCTAATTCCTGGATCCATCACAGATTCAATTGCTGGAATAGCCAGGCCAGACTGGTAATCGCCAGGGAGAGGAGCCATTAAGAAGACAAAAGGAAGGTAGCGGCCCGTTAAGAAACCTATGGAGAGGGGCTTTGTGCCAGATGGCAAGTGAGTAGGGTCTACCAAGGGTTAGTCAGAAGAACAAAGGCAGGGTTTAGGGTTTAGAGTTTGCAGGAATGTGAACTTGAGGGAGGAGGTTGCAGTCTGTTAAAGTCAACAAGCTAGAGAAAGTCAGAGCCATGGCTGGGGCCTGTTTGAATCCAAGGCTGCAGCTATGGGAGAAACAAGACCCTCTTGGGATGATAATGCTGTGAAGCCCTCCACTGTAGGCTCAGGTTGTATATATGTGTACATAGACTATATAGCATAAAGACACCAGAGTCTCTGATTCAGACCCTGAATAGAGATATTGGATTCTTGTCTTGTTACATATGCTAAAGCTTTTTGGTCATCTGCATACTATCCCTTGCTTTTTCCTGTAGGACTATTTGCAGCCGTTAACAGTCGTCAACAGGTTTACCATACCCATTGAGTCAATCTCCTACTACCCTCCTGAGAAAAACCCCACCCCACCCTCCCACTATATATAAGGGTCTGGTGACTTCTGTTTCAGTGTATCTGAAGAAGTGTGCATGCACACGAAAGCTTATACCCAGAACAAACTTAGTTGGTCTGTAAGGTGCTACTGGACAATTTTTTATTTTATTTTTTATTTATTTCAAGAAGACATGACCATTCAAGGAGACTTTGCCTGTTTCATTTGCATTCAGGACACCATGGGAGTGAAGAGGGCTTTCCTGCAAAGTCAATGGGACCAGAAGTCACAGAGAGAGAGAGTCAACTTCTGTTAGGGCAGCCACTGACAAAAAAGAGGACAAGAGGGAGATGTAGATTTGCATAACATTTGAATGTGCTAATTTAGATGCATAGGTGTCAATTAAGGAATGAGTATGATGGTTTAAATAGAAACACAGTACATCTCACCATGGCAGAGACTAGGTGACCAGTGTAATGGTTTGATCTGCTGTCCAGGTGCTCACTGGGTCTGACTCTGAATCTGTGAGAGTCAGGGGAAGAGTCTGTGAGTTTTACACAGCAGCATGTGTAGAGGGGATCTGGATTTCCCCTTCCCATTGCAAGAGGGACAGTCTTGGCAGAAGCAAGCAGAGAAGGGATGGAATGAATCTTCTCAACCGAAGGCCAGGATAAACATCCGGGACTATATAAAGCTCTTCTTCAGGGAAAGAGCCATCGTAGCAAATGTCTCTTTGCTTACTCCCCAGTCCCTGTTTATCTCCCAGCCCACATTTTAGAGAAGTGATGCCTTGTGATCTCTTGTGCTTTGCCTGGCTCTATCCCCCACCACCCTCCAGCTTTTGCCAGCCCAAAGAACTTCAGAGGAGCAACAAGATGAAAACTCTCCTGCCGGGAGATGACGCTCAGAGGGATGAAAGGCTCCTAAATTGACACCTCTGAGCAGTTAGTTGGACAATGGCGGATTCGCTTAAGCCAGGCAATGCACACTTGCAGGGTCTGACGTACTAAGGGGGAACTTTCAGTCACGTAAGAGCATAAGAACGTAAGAAGAGCTTGATGGAGACACAGGCCACCCAGAGCCAGGAGACCCTGGTGGGCAGACAGAGCTAACCCAACACAGGAAACAGAAGAAGCTGCTTTACACCTTGTGAGACCATTGATCCATCTAGCTCAGTATTGTCTACACTGACTGGTAGCAGATCTCCAGGGTTTTAGACAGGGGGCATTCTTGGGCCTACCAGGGGATGCTGGAGATTGGAGAAGGGATCTTCGTCATTATGGACTCACAGCTGTCCATGGAGGCGCAGGTCAATTCTGTGTCCAGGGCAGCTGTCTACCAGCTCCATCTGGTAGGCAGGCTGAGATCCTGCCTGCCCACGGACTGTCTCGCCAGAGTGGTGCATGCCCTGGCTATCTCCTACGTAGACTACTGC